TCGTGTTGTAGGGGCTGTTGCTTCTTGATCTATGAGGAGATATCCCCTCGGCGCTCGTGGAGATGGTCGTCGACTCTGGCTCCCGTTTGCTTCGCGGATGCTGGGGAACTCACTCCGGGAAGGAAAATGTTGCCTCGGTGGGCTAGGCAGACCTAATAGTGCATGGTCCAGACAAGTTGATGGTGACCTGAACCATATTTCGCAGAAGCAGGGATTTAAGGTGGCTGGCGATGAGGGCAACACCCTCAAAACTTGGGTGTGTCCAGGTTGATGGTGACCTCAACCATATTTCGCAGAAGCAGGGATTTCAGGTGGCTGGCGATGAGTGCAACACCCTCAAAACTTGGGTGTATACCATCAGGCGCCAGAACCCGGCCAGGCGGAAGTCATTCCAAGGCGTGATCGATGTAAAAGAGAGTACCGCTTCGACGACAGTGCAATCGAAGGAGGTGGCTGAAGCGGCCCGCTTCTCTGTTGAAACGTACGATGAAGGGCCGGTTGAGGCAGGCGCGCCTGCGGTCTGGGGCCCTCGGAAGTACCAATGTGGTGAAGATCTTCGTAATCTCCGGGCGCTGTTCCACGATTTCGCTCGCCATGTCTTTGTATTTCTCAAACACTACCGTGGCTGGGGAGGAGGCTGTGTGATTGGTATTCACATGCAACTCCAAAGTGGTCACACTGCGTGGAATAAAGTCCAGCAGCGGGAGCGCTTACTGCACCAATAGTCCAGACTGAGTCACGAAGACGGGCGTGTTCGTTCGACGGGGGGTCGGAATGGTTGAACAGGTACTTTGATTTAGAGTCACCGATAACGGCTGACGTTGAGAATGGTGAGGGAATTTACATGTTAACTGTTTTCTTGCAGAACTTGCACCAGCCATGAGTATAAAATGGATGAAACAGTTGATCAGAGTTTCTTCTGGCTACCGTAATAAAAATTATAAACTTCGAGAATAGTGCAGTATAGGAAACAAAAGAATAATTTATTTACTTATTCCTAACGGTTTCGGCTGGTGGACCAGCCTTTTTCGGAGGATCTAAGCGAAACGATACAAGTTTCCGTAGCCGAGGGCCACTAAAGTACCTGTTCAATCATTTCGCTTCAACAACCACAGGGCACACGTAAAGGGCCTCCCCAATTTGCCGTTATCCAAGCATATCAACCTCCCTGGCCACTCTTTCGAACGCGCAATCATCATACTACTACAATGCGGCTTCCAGAACACATGGGAGCGCGAGCAGTGGGAGTCATACTTCATAAAGAAATTCAGATCATTTACCCACGGAATCAACGAGAGCCCTGGGCGACTGACGTGCCTCCGCAAAGTTTCGTGAAACATAGAAAGTGAATTACTCAGTTAATTTATACATACGTGAAGTCGCACACATAGGATGATCAATCTAATGCGTGAAAATAAACAAATTCAATGCTACGTGCATCAACCGGTGCGTGTTAGCATTATTAGATTTTCTTTTTGTTTTTAAGTACTTTTTATTCTTTTCTTTATGTTTTTGTTTGTTCATCTCTTAAAGAATATCCATTCATTTATTTAGAGTATGACTGGTTCTACACTTCTTTGCAAGAGAGGGCAGATCAGGGGAGGGGGCACATTTAGCTTTGCATCGTGGCCAATGTTTTCCTGAAGCTGGAGCGGGTCGTATGTTTCTTGTTTGTGTGTGTGTGGCCCGACGCCGCGGGCCAGCCGCCGAACCACGTGAACTTTAAGTCGATCCATGTGTGGGATGTGAGCAAGACGCAATATCTTTCACTTCTTCTCTTTTCCTTGATCGCCTCCTCTGGCGGCGTGTCTTATCTACCTTTAGCTACAATTACCTACCCGCTTCCGGCGGCTCTGTGTCGCTCCTTCCTTCTTCTTCTTCTTCTTGTCTGTCGCTTGCCTCGTTAGCCCATTTGTCTCGCTTTTTCTCTTTTTTTTCTTTTCGTTTTGGGGGCCTCCAAACTGTGAGGGTGGCCCTCGGCTACGGGAACTTGTATCATTTTTGTATCATTTCGCTCAGATCCTCCGAAGAAGGCTGGCTGGTCCACCAGCGGAAACTGCTTGGAATAAATAAATAAATTATTGTTTTGTTTCCTATACTGCACTATTTTCGAAGTTTATAATTTTTATTATGGTAGCCAGAAGAAACTCCGATCTTTCTCTCTCTCTCTCTCTCTCTCTCACACACACACACACACACACACACACACCACACACATATATATTTATATATATATATATATATATATATATATATATATATATATATTAAGCGGTGAGGCCCACGTAACAGACGATGATGATCACTACAATGGTTCGGTCGTACAGATGAAGATAAAGTATATAATCAGCGCTCACACTATCCCCCCCCCCCCCTCTCGCGAAAGACGGCGGCAAGTTAGAAAGGGTTGGGACGCCGAATATATGGTTTCAGTCAAGACACGTAAGCGATCTCGGTGTTGCGGTGACGACGATCAGGAGCTGCATTGACAGGAGTGATATATATATAGTTGCCGTCAGATGTTCGTTCCGGGACAGTGTATGGACCGAGATATCCGGTGATGGAATTTTTCGCAGAGACCAGGTGCACGAACAGGTGTCCAAAAAGAACTTTGTTGCCTGTGCGGAACACAACAATTCGACGCTTTGCATCAATGTCGATTTTTCTCTTGTCATGAATGGTGGCAGTGTTGGCGCGGGCAATTTCATAGCAGCGGGTGACGCGAGCGGCGAACTCTTCCGGGAAAGATGAAGATGGAACGGAAGATGTGAACAAAAAGGTCGTGTCCAGAACAAAAGTTGGTGCATGGCCACACACGAGAAAAAAGGGGCTGTAATTCATCGTATGCTTTATGGTGGTATTATATGTGAACGTGATGAAAGGAAATATGATGTCCCAGTTTTTGTGATCCGGTTGAACGTATACATAGAGATCATGACGGACAATGTCCGGTGAAAACACTCAGTCAGACCATTAGTTTCTGGATGATACGCTGATGTGGTCTTGTGGATGGTGTTAGAGGCCTGGAGGACTTCAAGGTCATGCGAAAGAAATGTCTTGCCATGGTCACTAAGAAGTACACGCGGCGCGTCATGTCGTAAAATAATGGCACGAAGGACCAAATCGGCGATTACAGAGGTAGCACCAGACGGAAGAGCTACCGTCTCCTCGTAGCGAGTAAGGTGGTCTACGGCAGTAACAATCCAACGGTGACCGGCGGGCGTAAGCGGAAGAAGTCCGTATAAGTCTATGCCCATGAATTCAGGCCTGGACGGGCACGGCAGTGGTTGCAATGGCCTCGCGGGAAGAGACGTGGTATACGTTTTCGGTGCTGGCATGAAGTGCAGGAAGCGACGTACTTGGCGACAAAGGTGGTGAGGCCAGACCAAAGGCCTCGCCTCGCCACCTCAAGACCTTTGGTCTTGCGGTGGTCGTAAGTCTTGTGGAACCCTAAGTGGCCAGCTGTCGCATCGTCATGAAACGCTTGTAAAACTTCTAGACGAAGTGAGTGAGGAATGACGAGAACCCATTTGTTACCGAGAGGATAGTAAATTTGCCGACATAACGTTCCATCTGGAAGATTGAAAGGGGCATCTTAGGCGGCTGTTTGGAGCACGCGAGAAGTCAGTGAGCCGATCGATGATTGTGTATAGCAGTAGGTATCGGAATGTTGGAGCGAGGAGAGCTAGATCTGTGGACGAAAGAAGGTCCGCCGAGGCAACGAACACTTTCGAACCAGCAGCTGTCTGCTTGGTCACTTGGGTGGGCGGTGACGAACAAATGGAAGGTGACACTTGGGCGCTTAGCGAGAGCGGACAACGCGACAAAGCGTCGGCATCTTGGTGCTGCCGACCCGACCTATATGTGACGCTGTAGTCATACTCTTGCCATCGTAGTACCAGAGTCCTTCAATGCTTCAGCCAGAGTCCTTCAAGTATTGAAGGACTCTGGCTGTACAAATAGGGCACGTGCGCGTGTGGGAGAGGGAGCGCTGAGGTGTTCTGGTAAAAGGGTAGGTTTGAAGAAAGGAAGAAGAGGGAAGCAATGCCAGGAAAGTTGCAGTGTAACTTTGGCAGCTGGTGGTCGCTGTGAAGGCGTGTAAATATTTTAGTATCACCCGAAAAGTTAAAGCATCAAAAAATTTCGGGGGGGGGGGGTCAGAATCCCCTCAGCCCCTCCCCCCCTAGTTACGGGCCTGTGTGACACCACAATGACAGGTTTATTTGTGTGTGTGTGTGTGTGTGTGTGTGTGTGTGTGTGTGTGTGTGTGTGTGTGTGTGTGTGTGTGTGTGTGTGTGTGTGTGTGTGTGTGTGTGTGTGTGTACTGTGCTCTCAATGCAAGGCGGCTTGCCGATCCCTCCCTCCCCCTTCTCGCCGGCAGATTCACCTGTCCCCTCTGGCCAAATAGGAAACTTCCGTCTCTGTTCTTTGTATTTATGAGTAGTTGGGAGTGTTATTTTCTCTAGTGTGGCCTATCGGCCCTGTGGGTGGGAGTAAGAGATTGCCTCTCTTTACATTTGGGAGGCAAATATTTTTATTTGCCTGGAGCAAGCGGAACGAGGTGTTGATATGGTATTGTTAAGAAAATTAAAAAAAAAGAGGAGGGGCATGGTGGGTTGCGCCAGCCAACCAACTATCCATACAGGGTCACAGATCAGCGCCACAAGAATAAAAGCATAGGAATAAATAGGGAAGCTAGGCAGGGAAAACGTACGAAACAGGCGTCCTCACGTGAAAAGGAGGTAAGTGTCACGCAAGACCAATTGAACATGTAATAAAAAGCTTAGGAGTCTGCTTGTTAACCTCGGAGCGACTGATTTTATTTTATTGCTTGGACACGTATTGGCAAGCCGCAAGGAACATGCAATATGCATACGATTCAAGACCAGAGTTTTGAAACGCGCGCCTTTGGATTCGAATGATTTTCCGTCCCGAATCACATTTTCTCGTGTGCCGCACAGCCGGTGTAGCCGGTGCGTGCATTCACCCGATTGGTTCACCTTCAGTGCAAACGGCGAAGCAGACGCTGTTTAGTGTTCAGCAGAGTAGTTAGGCCCACAGTTGCCTCCCTAATGACTGCTGCGTAAACAGCTGTTATCCGGACATGTAAGCACCTAACTTTACGTTAGCCATCTCTCTGGGTTTCTTTAATTCGCTTGCTGCATTTGAGCTCAAGAGCCTGTTCAACGTAAAACAGGCGCTTGTATTTGGGTCCAGAGCAAACAGCAAATGTGTCGTGTTTTTGCATCTCTTTGTTCTTATTTTTCGAGCATAGGCCAAAAAGACATTTGTAGTGACTTTCAACCGGGTACGCTTCTGCTCTAGGCATTAGGCAAGGGATTATTGCTTGCACTGAGCTTTATTTGTATTGTTTACTGTGCGGTTCACATGTCCAGCTGTACGGTGAAGGATGAGGGGCATTTGGGACTTATGATAAAGCCAACTCTCTCGCAGGAAGGGCAACAGTTGTTGCTTTAATTGCTCGGTGCATTGACTCCGACCCACTGTTTACGAATGACACGTTAGCTTGATGTTTGCGTTGTTGTTTCTGGCTTTGGCAATAGCTGCCGCACGGGACACTTCGAATGTTTGCTGTACTGTCATTTGTTTTGCAGCATGGACAAATCGCCCTATGTGCTTTTGGAACGAATCAACGTTGATTCACAACTGGCGTTGGAACGTGGGATCCAGAGTATCCCGCTTGCCAAAAGGTACTGTTGAAATTTCATTCTTTACTACGCTGAAGCACAGAACACCTATATACTACCACTCATATGTGGCGTACACCAGAAAGTATTTTACACAGCGCGTTGGTTAGCCTTCATGCGTTATATTGATGTATTTACGAGTAGAAAAGCCGAAAATTTTGTCGAATCTCTTGAGTTTCTTTTCGAAATATTTGGCATTCACTGATAGTGGGCACAGAAGGTTATCAACAAGCATTTGCTCTTTGTTACATGAAATTGTGGCGTATACGCCTAACAGTGTGTAGCAACCCAAACAAGACAGGAGTTTAAGGAAATGCGCCTGCTTAAAGTGACGATAAGAATTGTGAAACAGTTCGGGCATGTCACCTGCACTAACATTTGAAAGCAGGGGATCTTTGGCTTCTTCCGTCATCCTCTGTTATGTTTTGACCCCGATGTGGGCAGGCACCCGTGTAGAAACATTGACGTCAGAAACAATCTTTGGTTCACATAAATGTATTCTGCCTAACACAGAAAGTGAATAATAAAAGCAGCAATAAAGTGCACGGAATATGGTGGCTCCGTGCTGCCTGCGTGAATTTTGTCCATTAGCTTTCTTTGGCAGTTTGAACATGTCAGTTGAGATATATAGCTGTACCAACAAGTGCTGCATTCTTGATTAGCTGTACTTACCGCAGTATAAATTTAAGAGTATGTAGGTATGCCTTAAACCGTGACATTGTGCTGTCTGCTCGAGTTTAAAAGACAAAGAAACCAGGTGTACTGTATACTCGCAGCCGGTGTAGACACTGTTTTTATTTGCACTGTGTCTGTCTCTTTATGCTGTACCGATTCATGCGAGCAAAAGTATTGCTTTGTTGACGTGGCTGCCCTTTTATTACAGCGAAAAATTGTCTATTATAGGCACCAAAAACTGACATTCAAGGCCTCATCACAGCTGCGATAGGGGAAAAAAATGGTGCTGTAATGTGTCCACATGCAAAACACATGTGGCCCATGTTTCATGGTAAAAGGGTGGTGCCACCAATTTGTGGCTTGTGCGTTCTTTGCTGCAAGCGTTACTATAGCACAAGGAAGCATCATGCATGCAGCAGGATTTATGTATTCTCACTAAATAATTGAATATCACTTTGTTTATTTGGACAGCTTTCAGTTTCTGGGCATCTAGTTGGACAGTGACGTAGTAGTGTAGTGTAGGTGTCTCACGTACCACAAAAAGCTATGGTGGACTTCGTGGCGTGTATCGTCTGCTCGTGCGCATACAAGCTGCTCAAGCACCAGGAAAATAATTGTGTTGACGGTTGCCATGGCTAGCCGCAGCAGCCGCGAGTGCTAGAGCAACCAACGCTTTGCTGGTACATGTGTTGCAGAGGTAGCGAAGGTTTAGAGCTCACTTGCATCGCTACAGATCTGGTGAGACACCATTACAACTTTTGTTGCCCTTCCTGTAGAGCTATGTCAGTTGTGGACATGCTATTGATGGGTCTCAATTGGGAGAATGAGCATTTAGGTGCACTTTGCAATTAAGTTAAGATATATTCTGAATGTTTGCTCATCCCAATCCTTAGTGTGGAGTGTCCTTGCATACAGAGGAAACCTACGACAGGCTTGATATAGCCTCGAAATTCGATGGCTCCACCCCCTCAAGAAAATTGTGGTAGCATTTAGCAGTACAAGCAGGTGGGCATATTGTGCATATTCGGGAGAGAACACGAGCGTTAGCTAAGACACGGACACAGCCCCATTTTATTACTGTGTCTTTGCGTCTCAACTCGTGCTTATGTTCCCGCCTGTGGTAGCTTTAGTTTGTCAAGTCGAGAAGGTGAAAATCGCATTGGGCAATCACAGCGAATCAGTACGTACACCATGACAAACTGCTTAAGTATATTAGGCAGTGGCATGAAAAATGTGTGCAGCTCACTTGTAGCTCTTTAACATGGCCATCTCTACAGTCCCTCTTTCTCGTGTTTTTTTTTTTTTTTCAATTGCCCTGAGTACCAGTGAAACCACAGATATTTTTAGGGATGTTCTAACAGTGAAGTCGTCAAATTGGTTTGAATACGAATATATTGGGAAAAAGTCACCCATCCCATCCTTTCATAGATGAAAATGTAAGATTGAAAGCTTTCTTCTCCCTAAATGATTCCTTATCATATAGCAGTATCACATTGTAAATGTATAAGAAAAGGACTTTGATAAGTTAACACATGCATGGAGGTGGCAAGTGGCTATCTTGAAGTAAAAGGACCTCATGTACGTGTGTACAGCAAGGTGGCATATGTTTTATTTGTACAATGTGCCCCTAAGAAATATAATAAGAGTACAAAATGAGCATGTAGTGCGATTTCAACAAGCATGCAGCTGAGAAAAATCTTGTTGAATAATAAAAGTTGACTAAATATATTAAAGAAGTAAAAGAAAAAGCGGTAGAAGTAGCTGCACTCATTAAATTTCACCAAGCTCTCGCCGATACTGTTGGTACCTTAATCAGGATTGTCTATTTAATTCAAATTTGATGTGGCCTGGATTGTGCACAAAAAGCGTAACATAAGCATGATGCGAGATATATAACAACAATGCAAGAAGTTATGGTTGAATGTTTGCTAACCTCACTGTTCTTGAATGCAGTCATTGACACACCATTTGGTATGACTAGTTCAGTGCCTGAGAGGAAACGTATGCTACTGTTTAACAAATGTCTGTGCATGCATTTGCATATTATATCTTTAGCATCATTTCATAATGTTTTGCTCAATCAAAAATTACAACACAGTCACTTGCCCTCAGCATGCTTCGCATAAGATTTATTCCCAAGGTACACGGGATCTGCTGAATTTTTTTACTATTTTTGTATAATATATATTGCCGCATGGTCATGAGGTTGAAGAAGGCAGTAGTCTGTGTGATCAAGATGAAATTTTTTTATTTGGATGAACTTGTGCAGGGAAAATGAAAGCTCAAAACACACGATATATGCCATGTGTTGATAGCAGTGAGAACAGTCATTGGCTGTGCTGTAATCTGCCAAGTGTCCAAGAGCATTGGCTTTTTATACACGTGCTGTTGAAGATTCCGGCGTTATCGCTTGTGCCCATGTAAGCTCTCGAGTAAACTAACTATTCGCATCCTGCTCACAATCTGAACAGAATGATCTAAAACGAAGGTTCTCAAACACTGCGACACATTATGTGCCGGGCACTGCTAACAGTCATTGTAGATGTAATCTGAATGCATAAAAAAGAACACGTGTGGAAATATACGTGCACAGATACTTACATGCACAAACATATGTTAAAGGACTCTTTACACATGATTCGAAAACTTGAGATGCTTGTGTTGTCTGAGCGTCCTGCGTGCAGGGGCACTTCGTACTAATTATTAGGGACAAGAATTGCCATTAAGATATTTTAATTCTGGTTTTGAAATAAGGGGTAGTGCTGATCTGAGTTATCAGCACCAATCGACATCTCTGGTTTGACGTAAACAGAGGCCCTGCAAGGTGAGTATTGTCGACGTCTGAAATCATTTGTGCAGTGTGCACAATACCTCGACTGGCTCCTGGTGAGGACGATTGTTCGTCACTCCTCTTGCTTCATTGTCGGGCTGCTCTCTAGGTGGTTTTGGCTGCTTACACCAGGAGTGCTTTTCGTCTTTCTGAGGGGGACACGCTCAATGCACCATTATCCTTTCATTCTTCACCACCTGCAGGTCCCCCGATTTGAAAACTGCGCATTCAGTGGCAAAGCTTGAGTGCACGTAATGTCAGGCACTCCCCCACTGTGGGGCACAAATTTCCAATGGTATTTCAGTGGGTGATTGAACTGATACAAAATCGTTCTGTATTAATGATGCTAGCATTAATTATAGAATGCGGCAAAGCATTTACGATTCAATTTTGGGATTAACCTGACACAAAGCTACAAATTACTTTAAAAATGTCGCAAACAAATCTTTTGCTGTCAGGGGTTCATTAAAGGGAGTTGGACCCCCCTCGCCTTATCCCAAAAAGAAACTAAACAAAAAAGTTGCTTTGGCTATTCCTTTGCTAAAAGCCGAACAAAAGACATGAGTGACCCAACCGAGCTGAGTGTGTGATTTAGCATCAATCTCTCTCGCCTATTGTGATGGGTTCAGTGATGTCAAGAAATCCACCCCCACTCTTTTTTTCCTCCAAAGCTGGATTGTGCCTCATGAAGCATGAACACCATTAAAAAAGCAAAGAGCACTGGAAGCCTAGGGAGCTAAATGGAAGTGTGTGGTAGTGTTGCCATGGTGTCATGTCATGCCATAATACTTAGTGGTAGCTACTTGTGTTACAAGAGCTGTGATGGTTCCCTAGTTTTAGGCGGACGCTACGTACAGGGGTGTTCTTGCTGCTATCTTTTTGTTGCAGGAAGCCAATAGTTGTTGTGGAGAAGTTGCCCAATGCCGTTATCGATGGAATGGATCAGAAGAATGCTGACAGACCTAGGCAAGCAAGGAAAAGCTCTAAAAGACCACTATCGCCAGCTCCACTAAGGTGGGTGCACATGTATACATTTTCACTGTGCCAGAGGCAATATTTAATTTTGTCATCTGGAGAAATTCCTGTTACTACCTACACCCATTTTGTTTATAAATCTGTAAAAGAAGTGACAGCAATTTTAACAGCAGGGGTGGGTATGCACCTTAAGATGGTATGTACCACAGGAATTGGGCAAACCCCACTAACGAGTACAGAAAGCGTGAGTGTTAAGTGGAAAGTCTGCATGGCAAAGGGGAGCACACAAAACACGTGGTAGGAAGAGTTAAGAAAAAGAGAAAAAATAGTAAGAGAAATGAAATAGATATAAAGAATAGAATTAAAAGACAAAGGAAACAGACGTCCAAAAGAGAGAAGAAACAGAGTAAGATCAAGAGAAAAAGAGACAAATACGGAGAAACAAAAAGAGAATGAATCCATGAGAAAGAGACGAAAAGACTGAAAAAAACATTGAAAGGAAAAAGCGAGATTGTGAGCAATGGATTTGAGAAAGAGAGATAAAGAACAGAAAGCAAGGCAGAAAGAGAAGTTAAAAGAAACAAAAAAAAAGAGGGAGAAAGAAATATATAGGGACAGAAGTAAATGGTAAACACTTAAAAGCATAAAGAGGAAGAGGAGAAAAAAAAAACAAGGAAGGGCCAGGCAGCTTTGTCACTCTTCCTTCAGGCTTGTCATCACTAGTGCAAGGTTACCATAGTTATTTTGTAAACTGGAAGAAAAGGGCAAGCAACATTGTAGATGTCGCCCTACTGCATCCTTTGTCTATGCTGTTGCCTTCAATGGCCGGCGAAAGTGATTACTGTCGATGTTTACGCAGCATCGCTTTATAGCCATATGACACCTATTTCTCATTATAATGTTGTAGCTTTCTATATTGTGGTCTGCGATGCTTCGCAAATAAAGAATTTCATTAAAAAAATTGTCCCCTGGCTTAGTGTTTGGGGTGGAGATACGTGCTTCAGTGTGCACAGTGCTAAAGTTGGGGTCTTTGTTTGCTGTGATGACTGATTTGATCAACTCCCCTCTCTTCAACATAGTTTGCAGTCATGTTCGGAGTCAGCTGTACATACTACGCTCGTAATGGAGGGTGCTGATATAGATATATTGCAAAAACAAAGAATGATACAGCAGTGGCTTGCCAGTAATGCTGTGGGACCAACGCAGGGAACAGGGAAGTACGGCACTTTCTCAAACAATTGGTTGTCATGATTCTCAGCTGTATGATAGCTTAATACCTCGACACATTGCTGTATCCAATTTGTCAAATTTGCAGAATGAATGAGCTAGCCAGTGCACCACCCTCTATGCCCAGTCATGGCCTATGGGCTTTAAAACGATTCTGCCTTGCCAGCCTACAATACTTCATCGTTACTTATTCTTCCAAGACAGCCACCTGAACGCAATTCATGACAGTTTTCTGCATTGCCTGTTAAAGAGGTTGTAGCGCCTGGCCATCTGTGCTTCAACTTCCCCTTGCTTTCAACGATCCCCCAGGACTCTGGTTCCTTCTCTCCACCTGCATTTCTTGATGCACATTTACATTCTAGTGACAAGATGCCGATTTCGGTCAGCCTACTGTCGTGAGCCACATCTTTTGTGATGTCCTATCAAGTCCAATTCCAGATGGTCTGTGGAAAACTCTGGTCGTGTCTTATTGTGCTCTCAGTCTTTCGTTGGCCAATTCTCTAGTCACCCAGGAGGCGCGTGTGGCAACACAGACTGGGATTGCCGGAAAAAACGGAAATTATGGACCACCTGCTCTGCTTGTTTCCTTCCTTCTCCACTATTGTCCTTCTCGATCTATTGTTTCCTTCCTTCTCCACTATTATCCTTCTCGATCTACTCGAAGCAACTGCCGCCCTCCCTACACCCCCTACCCGGTCATATGCACCCTTGTCAGAGGCAATGTTGCAAATTAACAAAGGGAAAGGAAACAAGAATGTCGAAGGGGTGTGCAAGATTTTTATTGTCATATGGCGGAGGGTTTCCCCTGGACTCCCCTTTGAAGTTCGAAGCATCGCATGTTTGGTTTGAGCAAGGTAAGTTTTCTTTTGGCTACCAGTCTAGTGAAGACTTCACAGCGAAAAGTCAGCTGATGCATTTCGGTGGTATTCTTGATCTGTCGTCACCTTACACTTTGCTATGGCAGACTGTCTTTGGATATGTCAGCATCGTCGACCTAGTGTGACCAGCCCATCTGGTGATATTGTTGGCCAACCAACCACGTCTGCCTCGTGTATGTGTCAGCGTTGTCGTTTTAGTGTAAATGCGCCTTTGTCCCTAACAGCCGGGCCATGCTCTCAGCCCTCATGCTGTGAACGCATGCTTCCTTCTCCCATTGAGAATGAACTCCTCAAAAGTAAAGCAAGTGTACTCTTATCTAAGCACTTCAAAAGCACCGCAAGGTGTTTTCCTTGAAGTGCCTAGCACTGTGTCCACATAGCTTTTTGTCTTTGCTTCTTTGTGCGCTAAAAAGTGCGAAATAAATCACCAACAATACCAAGCATTCGCTCTTTCACCGCCAGAGTTTTTGCCTTTTGTACAATGGGCTCTCTTTATACAGAACCTGAAGGAACCAAGAAAATGTGCTCCGTTTTACAGTAGTACTGTTTACGGAGAGAGCGACAGGGATGCTGAATTATAGTATGAAAGCGACCATATTAGAAGTCGTCGTTCCATTCAAGCCAGCTGTTCCATTTAAGAAATTACTATTTATCGAGAGATTGCTGTATTTGTTTTTATATGGCAAGTATTTGATCTTTCTCCAACTAAAATTTACCAATACAACTTGATTTGATGTTTGTCATCAACTTAGGCCTTTTCATCCTGGAATAATTTAGTTTTTGTTTTCGGCAATTCTCGCTTCAACTCACTGTTTTGCGTTCATCTTCTAGGCGGATTGACTCCGACTCACCGAGCAAACGCGTCCACTTTGGTGGTGAAGGCTCTCGGAAGTACCCACACATGAGATTGTGGACTGGGACTAAGAGCAGTGGGAAACAGCAAGGGGAATGCTCGAAGGAAAAGTGAGTCAAAATTAGTTTGCTACAGTGCTTGGACTTGTTTATATTAAAGTAGGGATGGCTGAATATTCCAGTGCTTTGAATATCTGAATGAATAGATTAGAATTTGAATTCACTTTGACACAACTTTTTGCTAAGATGATACCTCAGTATGCTTGAATAGCATGTCTGTATGCATGGGTAACATCTCGGCAACAGAACCCAAAGCTACGCGGCGCTAGCGGTCTGTTTCAGGACACGCTGTGGAGTGATCCGTGTTAAGGTTGCCGACTACTGTAGATTCGATTACATGTGACCCGCTTGAAATGGTAGTTTCACCATGGGGCTGCAATGCCGTGAAACCACCTATCCTCAATACAGAGGATTTTCATTCTGCTGCGAAGTCATAGTTCAAGGTTAAATGTAAATATCACTTTCACCTTGATAAATTATTTCCAAAATTTCACAAGCATGTTGTGCTGGTTTACATGCAGTAAGTACAGCAAATATTAAAATGTAACATATTTTCAGAAAGGTGCCTTGATGAGGGAGTTTTTAATATTCTAGTATTAAATATAGCACGAAAGATGCAGAAAAGGGAAGCTTAAACACAGTACTCTCTTTGTGCTCTCCTTTTCTGTGTCTTTTGTATTAGGTTTACTATTGTAACACATATTAAAACTTATATATGTTCCATCCTTTTACTATTCATATCTTTCCACTATTCGAATTCACTTCCAGTTTGAAAAATAGGCATCTGTCTAGTTTCAATAATTGCATATTTTGTAAGTTGAGTCATCACAAAAATGTGTGAGTAGCGTGGGGGTTTGTACCCACCAATCGTGCCTTGACAGCAAATTAAAGAGAAAATTTGTGAATACAGGGTGTCACTGCGGGAGCTATCGTTTTGACTAGCGAACTTTTCTTCAAGGCTGCAAGAGCATCTCTCCCCTTTATGCTTTGATTGATCAGATACTCCGCCCCCTTCACACCAGTTTACTTAGTACCAGTTTTATGCTTAGAAGACTTTCTAAATATATTTGGAAAACAGAGGGTAAGAACTCAACCCGAAGTCCTTGAAAGTGAAAGGAGAATGTCGTGCGGTTCTCATGTCTCTAAAGATGATTGGGTGCGATGGAACATCATCCTAATGGCATGTTCGGTTGGCCGTTCTGGTCCTCTGGCTCAGAGCCGCCAGATGCAGAGACAGCTCACAATCGGAGCGTGAGTGGCAACGTACCAACTGAATACATCGTCGGTCTCGGAGCGCTTAGAGCAGTGCGCCTGTAGCGCCACTGTGCAGCCTGCGCGCGAAGCTGCCAAGTAAACATTGCTGCGCCGCATCAATAAATGGTGCCGACCTGTTCAGTGGACATCTCTGACATGTCGTGATGTAACGTAAGCCTTCAGAGTTCAGCACATAAATATGCAATGGTCTTCGTCCAAGCTGCTATCTTCAATCTAAATCACGAGGTTGTCAGCGAGCTGCTGTAACAACAGCATTGACATTTTTTGCTCTGCCTTTGCTAGCCGCCTCATTATTGACATGGTGCACTTATGGCTTTGTAGATGTGAATTCTCCCACACACGTACAAGAACACTACTAAAAACGCATGTGCACAAAGTATTGCGCGCCTGGCGATAACCCCTTCTAAAATGCATGCTCGCGCTTCTCAATTCGTTTACCTGCCAGTAGCCGCGTAATTGGCCGGCTTGTGTCATGTGATCCGTCTTCCCGGTCAGATCGTGCCCTGCTCTCACTTTGAAGTCAGAGCGGGCTAGAGCGCTCCGAGTCAGAGGCTGACGCTCTGAAAGAGCCAACCGAAGGAAGTCCGACCGCTCGAAAACACCCATCCAAATACGCTAAAAGGTAATTGTGGCGATAAGGGAATGTTTTGTTTATGCCAGCAATTTCATGAAGTATGTTCTCAGTTGCAAAAAGTTTTTTTCGTTATCTTTCAATCGTTACACTGCTAATTTTCTAATTACGGCTTATTTTTTCTTTGCGGATTGACCGAATGATGACACGTTTAATTCGCAGAAACCGCAGGCACATGCATGCTTAGCTTGTCCCTAATGTTCTTACTTCAACACACTTGTGCTGTGCAGTGAAGCCAGAGTGTGTCGCACTTCTGTGCTAAGACTGAATAATGGCTGCTCTGTAGATGTTGGTCTTGTCTCCTTGTTTACATTGTAGCAGAATTTTCAGTACGCACACTAATAAGAATGTTCACAGAAAATTTAGTCATGTTCTACTCTAAGTGATCCCGAATTACGTTCTGTCTGCACTAAATCTGCTCCAGAAATTTCTCTGAATCCTAGACTGGCTAGACCACTACCACTGCAATATAATACAAAAATCAAAGCTGCATTTGCAACAACCCACTTAAGGCCAGCTTGGCAAGGTTCTCGCGAGTGCCATCAGAACTTGGTGCCCATGGATGGCGCAATTGTGCAGCATTACAATGTTGCCCTTTTAAATGCAAATGCATTTCTTAGTTGGGCCATGTCAGGCATCTGGCGTTGTCTGCGGCAGTGTTCATGAGCCTGCAGGTGTTATTTTTCCGCTCTCACTTTCTTTCCCAAAGCAACAGCTACGGGCGCACACGCTTATCCTCGCCTCTAGCAACTGGAGCATGTGGTGCGAGAGTGTGTAGGAGAGGGTAGGTGCTGTGTTTCGCTGCTCCTCTCGTCATTTGCTCTCTGTCTCTTCTGCACCCCACTTTCCCGTACGCTCGTGCCTCACTCTTCGACCGTTGGATGACTGGGTGCCTCTTAAAAGCATCTGGAAATGTGTGCTCAATGCGCTGCTGTGAAATGCCAACGCCGAGCGTAGATGCTGTTTGTTTTGTTCACTTCATAGTATTCTTTAATCGTGCATGCTAGCTGCTAGAGCTGGCAAACTACCAGAGCGGCGAACAGCGCTATCGGCTGCACGATGTAAGAAAAAAAAAAAATCTAACGCTGGGTTCTCACGTGCAAAATGCCGTTATAGATTCTATGCAATGCATTAGCATTTTCTCGCGATTCCCTTCAGGGAGGTGGGGGCATTTTGTTTAGTCTAATGCTAGGTGTCCTCTGAATCAATTTAATTTTGCCTGTTCAACCAGTTGCAAGAAAGTATGTCTCTTGCACCCTGCATTTGAGATAGTTAGTGGGAAGCAAGAGTCTCGATTGTTAGTGAAGTTATGAAACTAGCATGGAAATTTATTTATCTATATTTTATTATTGTATTTGTGCCCGTTTTTCACTTTTATTACGTGATAGCCTACATTTCAATAAATGCTTGATGATCACACCATGCTTATTTGAATCTAACACGCCCTCAAATGCTACACACACTCAGTTTTCGCAACTTTAAAATAAAAGCGTCTTAAATTTAAATCGCAGTTTAAAAGAAAATTCTGGCATGCCACTATGTTGGCGATAAAAAAAAAAAGACAAGCATGAATGAATCGCCCTCATGAATAGGAAAGCTTATTGTCCTGGCAGTTCATTACTGTCACACATGTCCCGTTAATTAGGGAGGCGATCGCCGGGCTAATTCCAAGGGCCGAAGTATCGGCCCCCCGAACCGCACCACGAAAGCGTGGACAATTTAGAAGTGGTCCTTTTTGGCGCGCCAGCGGACGCCGGCTGTGGCCCAAAGAACAAGTCAGAGCCGAGAGTTGATAAACAAAACAGATATTATATTCTCAAAAATGGCAGACCGAAAACAATACACAAGAATGCACACTCTACAATAGTTACATACAATACGTCACCGATCAAACAACGTACTACACAGTACAATCAGCCACACTCAAAACAACGGACACAGACAACGATACGCACTACAATGCAGTCGCATGCATTGAACCACCAAGACACTTAAAGACTAAAGAGATAGAAAAAAGTTCTTGGAACAAAAGTCTGGATGATACTCTTCTGAGAATCACTCACTCAAAGTCCAGCGTTGTTGTCGTTCCGCGCCCTCGAAGTTTCTCTTCCAGGAAACCTCGCGTCTTCAATTGGCCACTCTCCAAGCTTCAAACTTCTTCACCCGAACACGTCGGCTTTACACATGCAGCTGTCGCCACGCGTCTTTGTTCGATAGTGGTAAACACACACTCTTGCCTGCAGCTCGACTCGTCACCCCTCAGGTGGAAATCGTCTTTTTCTCCCGCTTTGTCTCTACGGACAAAACCTTCGCCGACTACACGGTGGAATCCCTACGCGCTCTGGCGCTAACTTCCGTCTTCTCCTGCTTCGTCCCTACGGACAAAACCTTCGCCGACTACACGGCGGGATACCCAACGCGCCCTGGCACTAACTTCCGTCTTCTCCTGCTTTCTCATCTCGGCTGCTCGGTTAAATACCTTCCGCGCGACATTCCAGAAGGTTCTCGTCATTTCGTCGGCGCGATACGCAGCGAAGGCTGGGGAGAGGGCGAGACGGTTGGAATGCCCTCCGCGATGGATGACTCAACCCGGCGTGACCACGCCTCTTTCGTTCTAGAAATTTCGCGGGCTTGCTCGGCCGCCGATGTGGGGTGAGGAGGTTCGTCGGCGAAGCCACGCTTCCGAGGGGAGAGTGCGCGCCCGGGGAGCCTTGAATGTTTGTTTTCTTTTTTTTTCTTTTGACCTCCCGGCGTCTCTCTCGCGCGTTATCGCAAGAATTTGGCGGCGCGCCCACTTTTAGCGCTCGTTCTGTGACAATTACCTTCTGTATACATTTCTTTTGTAAGATCGCTACTGTGTGCACCTTATGGAAGTGGCCAATGCGCTGATCGGAGGTAGAAGAGGAGGTCGAGGATCGCAGGTGTGCGTACGGCACGCGGCAGCCACTGGCAGCGGGTGGCTGCAGCTGGGGCTTAGCGAAATAAGCCCGGTTCTTGGTCTGGCTCCGCATCTTCCCTGCGGGGTTCTGGGCCGAGTAGCCTCGAAACCCCACATTTGGCGCCCAACGTGGGGCGCCCTGAGCCAACGACCTTCATCGCATGCCAGTTTGATGGAAGTTACTACTTTGATAAGCATCTTCTGAAC